AGGCTCGGCTACCATGCTACCTCTTAGTGAGGCGTTGGGGCAGGCTGAAGCGGGCTAAGGTCAGTTGAAGGGACTATGGCCATTGTGAAGTGTCTACAGGTGTTGTGTGAGCGAGGGTACCTGCTAGCGGCCAAAACGTATTTGGACAAAGCATTCAATGTTGAGGAGATCGTACAGCACTTCGCATGTATGTATCCTGGGTGTATGAAGCCACTGTTGACCTCCACTACACCATGCAAATGCAGTGGTGAGATAGATTGTCGATATACTGCCCGATGCCTGGTGTAGGTATGTTCTGTGATGTTCACGCTCATCCACTCCGACATCCTTGCCGTGATACGGAGCTTCGTTTGAAAGGTGCCATGACTTTGCCGGAGGTGAGCTCTCATCATGTGGTCTACACTGGAGCCGTGGAATTGACAATAGAGTACTTGCATAGTCGGAAGTGAACAGAGTTGTTCTAGTGCATTGAGAGTCTCATCGGCAAGTCTCTTTGTACGTTTAGTATGCAACAAAAACGGTGGATCTACTTCTAAGAGGAGTTGTATCTTTTTGACAGGCCTCCAGTGACGAGGTACGTCATGAAGACTTTGACGATAGAATTATGTTGGGCCTCCTCATGCACGTTCTGAACGTTGCTCGTACCATCAATGAGGGGCTCAAACGTCGGCGTTGGGGGCGCATACCGGGGACCACTGGCCGGGAGGGTAGGTCGCATCGTGTCGTCTATAGATGAGGTATTCCCTTCTCGTTAGATCCACCCCCTGGACAATTCTGGAGGCCAGTGAGTCGCGCTGAAGTACACCAGTTGTGCACTCGGTGCGGCAATAGGCCACGGCCGACTGGCAGTTCAAACCCATCTATGGGTCTCTGCTCGAGGTATCACTGTATTGGTTATTATTGTTGATATTATTGATAACATACCAGAACAATGATAACAACAATAACAATAGCCAATAACTTATCGGTTATTGTTTTCATCGATATCACATTTGATTGTTGTCGGGATGCTACATCAAATGTGCAGGTGTATCTCCATTGAGCGGAATACAGCCAGCGATAGAAGGCTGTCGTGTCCGAGGTATGGAGAGGAGGAAGCGGCGGTCTTGGAGGCCAGCAAGAGGTTGACACATATGAAGTAGAGAAGCTCGATGCTGCATCTCGAGAAGAAAATGACTGTACCTCAGAAAGGCTATGGCTAAGGCTCAGAAGTCGTCCATAGAGAGGCTCAGCAAGCCGAAGTTTCGCCTCAAGACGCCGCCACTCTTCCCGATACGGCAATTCCGGGCTAAGCCAGGTATGTAACGCCTCTCGGTGGGGTTGTCCGAGTCGGTCCTTAGTCCCATGGTCTTCGCGCAGAGGGTCATCGAGGAGGCCCAAGTCCGCTA